CTTACAGAGAATTGCTCAATCCGGTAGCTCCAAGGTGGACGTGATTTCAGAGTACAAAGATCCTAGTTGTCTAGTTCTCGAAACTATTTGTATCATTCTTCAATAGAGACCAATGTATCAATTAATGATAGTGCTATTAAAACGAACTGGACATGTATCTAACATTATTGATCGCTATAGACGCTCTGTTTTCTGTCTGGTACGGTGTAACCAGAATGATTCACAGTCAGGGAAAGGCGTGGAGTCAGTAAGCAGATTACTTCTGATCTTGTCTAGATCTTCCGGTTTCAACCCCAGTTTGTTGAAACAATAACCTTCGATGCCACCGTATTCCTTCTGGAGCATATGGATACTGCTGACCATACTCTCATACTTTGAGCTTATCAAGTTCTCAAACATTTCATCATCAGTGAGGTTCTCTAAAATGTGTCTGAATTCAACTGATGAACCCAAGCCAGAGTTTTCCAATTTCTTTTCAAATCCTGTTTTCATATGTTTGAACTCGTCACGTAATTGTTGATGGTTCGGACGCAGTCCAATCGTCGTCAATTCGTACTCCTTTGAGATTGTATGTTGATCCACTCCAAGAATTAACAGTATCAACATTGTCATCACACCAGTACGGTCCTTTCCTGCAGTACAATTGTAGGCGATTGGTGTGTTGGGATTGTCACGTAAAAAGAGCAACACCTTCTTAAATGCGTCACTGCCGTTTTCCAGCATATTCTGGTAAACGTACTTATACGTGTACCACGATAGTAACAGATTTCTGTAACGGAGAGCAATTGCCTGTGGTGACATATCAGTTGATGGGAACACCGGGGTGTTTTGAACGTCGATGCCTTCAATTGTTAACCCACCAGCTTTCTCGAATTCTCCAACAGATCTAAAGTCAAAGATGGCCTTCACGCCCAGGTCTTTTAGCTGTTCCTTCCCATATGCGGTGACATTGGAGGTATTTGCGCATCTGAATATAAGACCAGCCTTTACATAGTGTTTGTTATCTGAACTTCTCCATCCACCAATATCTCTGAAATTCGCAATGCCTTCAATGTCTCTCCATCTTGGGAAATGGTAAATGGATAACGATGCATCACGGAACCTCTTCACATCGGATTCCGTATGTAGCCACTTTATGACCTCTCTGGTAACCTTATAGTTCCAATTAACCATATTTCTCTTGGTCAATGGCAAACCCTCAGGATTATGCGAACTCTTGTTATCCTCTGTGATAACAGTGGTGCCATAATAGTTATGGTCTGCATGAGGGATGAATTTCAACTCGTGTCTTGAGCCGAGCAAGTTGGCAAAGAACGTAGAATCCTCAATTGGAACGATGTGGTCGTTCAGCCCGTAAAGACTCAACACTTGGATCTCTGGATCGAGGAATTTGATCATGCTCAGGTCCTGGGATGCAAGGTCCTGAACCTCTTCCGGGAAGATAGGCAATTCCTGATATTTACCGAACCTGTACTGGTTCAAGAGCACCTCCTTACCAGTATTCTTACCAAACTTCAACAACAGACTGGACTGGTACCGGGAAGCACAGTTCACCAGGTTTGGAACGAACTGGTGCTTCTCACCACTCTCCTGTTTCCTCTGCTGCGCAACTGCCCACTGGAACATAGCCACGCCTCCCCTGGAGTGTCCTATGATGACGTAAGGCACGAGGTCTATACCGATCTCGCTCACGGAGAAGCCATTTTTGAACACCTCGTAGACAATCTCTATATCCTGGACATCCTGAGACACTTTGCGGCCCTCGTGAGGCACCTCGTTGTCCTGCGAGTCCCCACACCCTCTGAAGTCGAATCTGAAGGAGTACATCCCGAGCTTCGTGGCCAGCTCGTTAGCACAGATCGCCTGGTAACAGTAGTTCTTATGCCCTCCTTTCCCATGGAGCAAAAGCGCCAGCTTGTGCGTAGGCGGGTAGTGTTTCTCCAGGGAGGTTGGGTTCAGCTGAAGCTCCTCCTCAGACTTCAACGCGCTTGGTGGCACGGTGAGGATACCAACGATGCCAGCTCCTCCTCTTGATCCAGGAACGGAGATAGACAGAAGCGTCTCGTTTGGCTTCAACACGTAGTTCGTACAGACGTCTGCTGGCAGTTTCGTCACGGTATACGTCATTGCGGTTGTATCGGTTCAATTGGCCCACACTAGCAAATAGCCACCAAAGGGATGCGTACCAGTATAAATAGCGAAGAGATTGAAGCGTGGTTACTGTCGGGCCGACGGTTCGCACAGTGCTTTGGAAGCAAGGAAGAGTTGGGGAGTTCGTATATTTTGTTGGTGGTTACATCCGCGGCCCACTGCTGGCGATCATCAGTGCACCCGCGCGCTTGCGGGTTACGGCCTGGGGGGGGGGAGCGTAGGCGGAGGTTTAGCGGGGGTTTAGGCGGAGGTTTAGGGAGACGAAGGAGACAAAGGCAGCGTCCCCAGGCTACACAGCGACGCTAAATGCAATCGATTAGTTTATAAATGTGTATCCTGTGAGTGGTTTTATTCAATTAGCCATGGATCCACCACAATGTCCTTCATCGCTGGACGTTTGCGGATATCCCTTTGTAGAATTCGCTTGATTAAAGAGAGACATCCTTCGCTGGTGACAAACGGTATACGAAGTTCGCCCTCCATGATCTCATCAACGTTGTAGAACGGGTTCTCCTTGTATATGAGGGTATACAGCAAGATACCAAGGGACCACACGTCCTGTGGCTTTCCCTCGTATGGTAATCCGTTGAGGACCTCAGGCGCAGCGTAGTCCAACGTGCCGACAAACACGTCGAATGGACCTTGTTTGATGTATGCAGCTGATCCAAAGTCGATGAGCTTTATAACTCCGTTGGCATCGATGATCAAGTTCTCGTCCTTGATGTCTCTGTGAACGATGCCGTTATTATGCAAATGGTTAATCGCACTGATGCTTTGCTTCATGATGGATTTGCACTCCAGCTCACTCATATCCTTCTTCAGCTCGATAAAGTCAAAGAGGTCGATAGCCGGGATTGGATAGCCGTGAGGCGGGAGCTCGATGTAGTAGTAGTCATCATCTTCGAAGAAATCGATGAGTCTCATGATGTTCGGATGCGGGTTCTTGTTCAGTGTCGCCATTACTTGGATCTCAGACGGGATGGTTCCCAGTTTACGGTCCCTGACCCAGGTGTCAACCAAGATACGCTCCTTGATGATCAACTTTATCACAACAATGTAATTGGGATCCTCTTTATTCTCAGCCAGAACGACACGGCCATACGCACCTTGGCCCATCTTTTTCACAATCTTGTACTCGTTAAATGACTTCTCTCGTCTCTTTGACCCAATCACACGAGGATAATGGCGTGAAACTGTTTTACGTTTTTCAATGGCGTCGTTCTCAAGCTTTAGGAGCTCCAGTTCATCTAATTTTTGATCCAACATCTTGTACCTTGTCAAATCGGTCTTGGAGTCGGATTTCGCTTCCGATCCCACTTGAGGGTTAACAAGCTGGCCAATGTCAACCTCACTATTATCGGTGGTTGATAGGTTTGAGCTTTGCGTTGATGATGAAACAGTCGTTGATCTCATGCTGGAAGTTCTTGAGACTGTTTGAATTTCATTAACGTTCAATATCGAGAGCTGAGACGGGAGTTCATCTTCACTCTTATCAACCACCTCTGCATCAAATGGGCCATGTGGTGCCTTGATGGATTCCTCATCTTCAGAACCGGTATCTAATTTGAAATCAACTTTGCGTTGCAACGAGCCACCATAGAGTGTTCTTGAATGGGTCACCCATAAAACAAAAGTATCACTATTCGTACATCTGAGTTGAACATCAATCTTGATGGTTGAACCATCGCTGTGGAGACCGTTTAGTCCAAGGGATGTTAAGAATCCTTCTTCGCCTGTATTTTCTAGATTCGAGTCAACTTGACGGAAGAAGTGCTCTGGAAGTACCAAACCAGGCATAATTTTCAGTCGTGGCATATTCTTAAAGATGTATTTCATCATCTTCGAAAACTTTGGGATGATCTTATCCACAGAACAATTAGTCAATTGTCTTTCACTGTACCCAAAGAGATTCTTTGAAACAGAGTTGTTGAAAGATAACACCGAGTAGTTAGATCTGGACACAATAAAGACACCGGCAATGTAAGGCATTGTGTGTATTCTGATTTTCACCCTTCCTTCGTTTTCGTCAATAACCTTTGATGTCAATGCACACGGAACATTGTACCCATTCTTTTTCACAGTGAAGTATCTTTGATCATTAGCCAGTTGTGCCTTCATTACCGCAAGGGGAACGTTGGTGTCTTCATTGTCTATTTGAGTTGTCTCATCAAATTTCTCCACAAGGTCACCAACGGTTGAACACTGCGAGACATAGTTGAAGAAACATCCAGAAATGCTCTTGGTTGACATAATCTTGTTTTCTTCAGCGTTATATATCAGATCAACAGAATCACACGGAACTTGGTCGAACATACAGATAATCAAATTACCCTTCTTCTTTGCCCACAGACTTGACCACGTAAGTTTCGTACCTCGTTTAGCGATTGCAACCACTTCACCTGCAAAGATCATTTCATCGTTTGTCATTGAGTTTTCAATCAACTTATTGAGGACAAAATCACGGGCATCTGGGGCAATTAAATCCAACAAAGTCAATCGACGTAGAGATGCCTTTGAAACACCAAATATAAGACACGCCAAGTCATTAGCAGCCTTCAAATTCCAAGGATCGTTCAATTCGCAGGTGAAGACCGCCTGAGGTGAATTGTTTCTCTGTGAAACGTTATGGAATACTCTTTCATTGCTACCTTGTGACACCACTGACTCCTTGGCAAGGGCAGAAAGTGCTAAAGAAGATCCACCTTTGTTAAATGGTATGATTGGCGTATCGATGATAGGCTCATAGAATGGCGTAGCCAAAGCGTGTAGCATTTTGACCTTCAGCTGTGATCTTGATTCCAAGCTCTTCGAGCTGTCACCTGTAGCAAGAGACAAATCGTGTAGGTTCTGTGCCAAATTCTTCGAAGAAGTGTCAGACAATTCATCCTCTTGTAATATGTTGATCAAGTTCTTAATGCCTTCGTTTGCATCCGAGTCGTGGTTATCGGACTTGCTGTTAGCTGGAGGTTGAGAGTTGTTCTTGTGATCGTTGAATAGAGCAGCCAACGCTGCGGAAGACGCATTCGACCGAATGTTCAAGTTCTTCGACACCGGAGAAGCGACATCAACGTCTTTAGCCGTCTCATTTTGGATCTGTGAGATAAAAGTCCCAATGTCCAGGTCCAGCCCATTTGTTGAGGGGCCAGTCTGGACATACGACTTCAAGTTCATCAGCTCTGGGCGATCCAGCAGTATCTCTAGCGATCTCTTCAGCACGGAGAGACGAACAGCCAACGAATTTGGAGATAAATGGGCATATGAATACGCATGTGTTGACTCCTTGGGGAATCTCAGAATGTCGGAGCGGTTGAAGGTAATCTTCGAGATGCCGCTGGCGGCTTGGTTCTTTCTCGAGTATGCTCTTCTCAAAGGCGAGGTATGGTGTTCTCCAGGCTGCTGAGGTGATAAACGTCGTACGGCCTGTGGTGTCTTGATGGGCGTCGAGCTTGGAGGCGGTGCTTGAATTGTTATGCGGGATGACGACATCTGTGACTCGTCATAGGTTTCATCCTCATCGTCGTCGTCGTCGTTTAGTATGAACATCCCTCTGTGAGGTTTGGCATCACTATCTGCTCTGCTCTGGCGGGGCGGCGTAACGGGCGCGCTGTTTGGTGCGTTGTTCTCGTCACCCAGCTGTGTTGCTGATGGCTTCCTCGAGCCATCACTGTGAGGAGTCGACACTCTACTGGGAGCTGCACTAATGTTGAGTTGCGTACCTTTACCGTTGATGGGGCAAGCGTATGGCATCTGTTGCTGGTTCCAGTCGTCCTTCTTGTACTGAGGTTGAAATGTGTCGGCCTAAGATGTAACCCTCTCCTTCTAACTATCAAAACAACGTGTTCCTCACTAGTGAGTTTTCTCCCTTAGTGATTTGGTATTGAAGTTTTGTGGATGCCTCGTTTTTCGTGCTCTTTCTCTCTAGCCGTCCTCGATGTGGTACAACTTGAGGTTAAAACAACGTGTAGGCGTATGCTCAATTGGGTGGTTTGGCGTGTGATAACTGGCTTGTGTGTTTTAACAAGTTCTTTTACGAGATACCCGGCGTATTGTCTGGTCTGCTATCTCTGTTGAATGTTTTGTTTTTTCCGTTCCCTCCAAAAATCAGCTTTTTTACCTTTCAAAGTTTTCGTCACAAGGCGGCAGAACTTCTCCTGCGCACGAAGGAGCAGCGCCTTTTTCCTCTCACAAATTTGGCCTCAGAAATTTGGCCTCACAAATTTGGCCTCAGAAATTTGGCCTCAGAAATTTGGCCTCAGAAATTTGACATCAGAAATTTGGTTGCAAGCGAAAACCGCAAGCAGTGAAACCAAGCCAATTGAGAATTGGTTAGGAAATGTGCGCCCATACAGCGGTGTAGCCCTTAGGATTATGAATGTGGTCTAATAATGTTGGTATCAATTGCATACGTCATCGGTTTTGCTGAAAAGAAATAGGGAAAAAGTACACAGTGAACGGAGCGAAAACCGTGCTGCAGCCAGATATGTCATTTATGATTTCAGCGTGCTTAGATCGTGCGCTTGTGATTCGCTGTGATGTGGTGGACTTAT